GCCTTTGCTCAGCCTTTGTTCCGCCTTTGCTCAGCCTTTGTTCAGCCTTTGTTCAGCCTTTGTTCAGCCTTTGTTCAGCCTTTGTTCAGCCTTTGCTCAGCCTTTGTTCAGCCTTTGTTCAGCCTTTGCCTCCGTTGACGCCGGTTTCATCTGACGCGTGTTGGTAGGGGCGGCTCTTCGCGTGCTTCTCTCCGCGGCGGTAACATGGTGGGCGGTAGTGTCAGCGGTGGCGGATCAGTTAACGACAGGAAAACTGTTAGCATATTGCGAACGGGCAGATAATCCCCCCGCTTTAACTGATTCTTATTTTACACAAATCGGGGCTTACAGATTGCAAGTTAGCAGGGCGAGTTTCAAAAACTACAAAAAAGAAACGTTAACAAAAAGTGTTAACAACGTTGTTCGCAATTTTCGCAATTTTTCGCAAAATCTTATGAACCAGTCAGGTGGTGGGCAGGCAAGGGGAGTTTCCACCGGATGGGCGTGTAGAACTTATGCGAGTGGTGTGCTGGCCTAATGTCTCCTCGGAGCCCCCACACAAGTGCTAACATAAGAGCATACTCACGTTTAACACATGTTACCTTTACGCCCACTTACCAGGGGCACTCACGTGTGCACACCCAGGGGAAGTTGCTCGAATGTCCCTCACGCCACCCCCGAAGTGACAGAAGCAGCGTTACATAACGAGCTGCGGATTAAGCTCCCCCCATATGAACATCTTTGCGTCTTATGTGACCAACGGATAAAAGTATTAAGAGGCAAGAAAATTTTAGCAAAAAAAAAACAAAAAAGTTAAAAATCGCCTGAACATATAAGATATTTAAAGAAAAGGAAAAAACAGCTTTTTTTGGATTTTTCACATTAAACCGTAGCAACAGTATCCAAATTGCAGAAGGAAAAAGGTAGAATGCAAAAGGTAAACCTTCGAATGGAAGCAAGCCACAAGTAGATCGCTCAGTTTACCAATCACTCACGCTTTGAAGTCACAGAACAGCTGTATCGGCCCCCATTCAAACACAAAAAGTACGCCAAAGTTTTTACTCGCTCCTTACATAACGACAGCATCGTGTGGGGGAGGCAGTTGCTCCCTTTTTTTGTTGCTTCACCTTTGGTGGGGTTGTAACTCCACGTAGGCATATTCTCCTCTGAGAAATGTTCCTCTTGATGCTGCAGCGCTGAGTGGACATGCGCCGTTTCGGATGTTGCTAAAGGGCAGACACAAACGTGGGCAATAAAGAGGAGCAGCGTGACCGTGACGGATGAGTACGCAGGAGGGTAAGGCAGCCAAAAGGTATACCTACGTGGGAAGAGCAGAAAAGGCAGTACGTGTGATCACATAGCTATATGTATACATAGCTACACATATATATACATAAGCTGATGCGCACGCGGGTAGGCACCCTTCCATACCCATAAGATCAGTTCGGTATGTTCCTCTCCAGCCCCGCAGTCGCACCTCCAAAACTGACGACCTTTAAAAATGCGGAGAAGGAAGACGTTCGCCAAACAGGCACATGGCATGTGACCACTACAGGAGTGGGTCATTACATCGGCACGCGATCTCATTAGAAACCTCTCACCCCACAGCGCATCCTAAACACGCAAAAACAGGTGAACATACGCCTGTCGCGTAAGAGATCCCCAGTTTGGTATTCTTCCCCTTTCGCCCACAAAAAATTGGCCAAACAGATTTTTCGAGCATATGCTTAAATGGATGTTTTTTTGGTGTCTCTGCTCGTTTTCCTTCTCTTCCTTTTGTTTGCATGCTTTTGCGTGTTTTTGATGTTTTGCTTTTTTTTGCCCGTTTGTGTGTTCATGTCCAGTTGAGCGCTGCACCCGCGGAATCCTTTCCCATTGGATTTCATCGCCGCGTTATTCCGATGTGTTACTGCGCCGCGTCATTCGCCTGTGTTATTGCAGCGCTTCCCCCTACTGCTACATCCCCCAAAATGCGCGAAAGGCAATTTTTGCGCCCCTCCCCCCGTGCACGTGCGCATAAGTATGCGTGTATGTACATGCCGGGAATACCTCCCTATACCCATCCCCTCGCGTATCTAGGTCTAAAATGCTAAATGCATTTTGTGTTCATGTTTGGAGGGAGGCCTAAGGAAATGTATCTATGCGTACATTTAGCGTACAACTTTTTTTTTCATTTCCCTTGTTTTGCAGTTTTTTTTTTTTTTTTTTTTTCTTTTCAGTCTGAACTGTTCATGTAGAATGGGACTCGCCAACGCTGTGTTTTTTTAATTCTTTTTCACGTCTACGTGTATAAAGGAGTCGGGGAAGTAGGACAGACGAGAAAACTTCCAACGAGTGACTACTCGTGCGTGTGCGGAAGTATGTATATATATGCATATCTACACACGTAAGTACGCGGATATGTACACGCATCTGTAAGCGCATATGTATACGCATATGTAGGCGCATCTGTAGGCGCATATATACACGCATATATACACGCATATGTACACGCATATATACACGCCTATGTACACCATTACGTGCGTATGGGACGCATGGGATACGCGAGGACATCTGCGGACTCCGCTTTAAGTGGCGCACCAGCGATCATGCAACGCGTTGTGGGCGACTGGAAAAATATCGCGGGTGTCAGTTGACTGTCCGTGTTGTCAATTTTGCCTCATTCAGTTGCAGAGGGGCACGGAGGGGCGCAAGCAGATGTACATGTGCATGCGTATGCACAGACACGTGCTCGGCGCTGCAATTTTGAAGGGAGCGCCTCGTAAAATGGATGGCCCAGTTTACGAATCGTTATTTTTTCAGCACACGTGAGGGGAAAGCAAGAGGGATGCCAGCGTGGCGATGTGTAAGTGAAGGTGTATGGATATGTGTAAGTATGTGTAAGTATATCTGTATGGATATGTGCATGTATTTTCTTCTTCTTTTTTTTTCTTTTTTTTTTTTTTAACATGTCTGAATGGCCACCACTCGCGCATCGCAGTATCGCGAAAGACAGAACTGGTCGTTTTATTTTTTTTAGCGTTTGTTTTTGTTTGAGTCCACCTCTTTTAAAATCGTCGTTTTTTTTGCGTCTGGCACTTTCGCTCCCGATGCTGAGCCCGTTAGTGTGTTTAATTTATTTCCCTTTTTTCTTCTTTTTTTGCGTCACCCATATATGTTGCCTTTTCCCCTTTTTTAACCGAGCAAATGTCCCGTTGCGCATGGAGGAACTGCTCAGATAGTTTTCCCCCCTGTTTTAAAGAGAGCGATTATATATTGCTCACTGTGAAGTCCAACCCTGCCCCTGTCTCTATTTCCATTTGGCGCTCGTTTTGCAAATTAGCGCAACGGAGTTGTCGAGTGTGTAGGTCAGGGGAAGGAAGCTCACCGGATTTCCCCTTTCCAGTTGTGCGGACTTGCCACCGTGACATGCGCGTACAGTACAGAAGTAGCGCTCCTGTGTGGCGAAGCTTGGTTGTGTAATGCGCCCTCCCCCGGGAAGCAGAAGCATAGTCAGCAGTAGAAGTAGAAGCAGACGCAGCAGTAGAGGCAGACGCAACGTAGACGCAAGATGCTTAAGCTGAGGAGCATCTGCACGACGCTGATCGGGGGGAAGGTGTACAACATTAACGGGAAAACGATCCGAGAGGAAAAGCTGCTGTCGGAGGGGGCCTACTCATTCGTTTATCTAGCGAAAGACCTAAACACGAATAAGGAATACACCATAAAGAAAACAATTTGTCAAGATAAGGAGAAGCTACAAATGGCACAGAAGGAGATTCACATCCTTAAAAGTTTACCCCCACATAAAAACATCGTACAGTATTTCGGATCGACCATCATAAGTGAAAACGGAAACAAAATAGTCATCATGCTGATGGAGTTCTGCGAAAGGGGGAACCTATTAACCATATTTGAGAAAAATAAAGACAAAATAAAGGAAAATCATATAGTGAAAATTCTCAAGGATATAGTGAAAGGGTTACATTTTCTACACACTCAGGAGATTCCAATTATACATAGGGACATAAAACTGGAGAACATCCTTTGTGATAAGAATGGTATCTATAAAATCTGTGACTTCTGTTCACATAGTGTCTCCAATGCGTTCTTTCCAAACGATTTAACGAAGAATGCATTAAACGTATTGAAGGAGGAAATAGAGAGAGATACAACGTTTATGTATAGACCTCCAGAGTTAATTGACTTATATGCCAATAGAGAAATTTCATCCAAAGTTGACCTCTGGATGGTTGGTTGTATTCTGTATTTGCTTCTTTTTAAAGTGCACCCCTTTCAGAATCATCAGAATAGCTTTCTCTCCATAATCAATGGAAGTTTTATCATTCCATACCACTCCAAGTACTCCAAAAGAATCATCTCCATTCTGCTCATGACGCTGAATAAGAACCCACAGGAGCGGCTAGACTCTACGACTCTTCTGTTCATTTTGGAGAATTACGCAGAATTGAAAATCTGGTTTAATCACATCCCCAGTGATGTAAGAAAAATGGTAAATCAGATTTTCGAGAAAATCAGTGAACTCAATTTGAATAACAAACAGAACGAGATGATCGAAATTAGCAACGGCCGTATTTTGGATGTGAAGATCTCTTCGCAGAAATACGAGACACAGGTGCAAAAGAGTAGCGCCCCCAGCCCCTTCTTCAGGTTCTTCGCCCCAAGCGCAGTGGCGCAGGATCCCTTCGGGAGGAAGCCGCCGGGGGGGGTCAGCAGCGATGTGGGGAGCAGTGTGAACAATGGAGTGATCAACGGAGTGTCGTCGAAGCCGCATGGTTCTTCCAAGCTGGATAGTGACGAGAAGCAACCGGATGGTACCGCTACCCAACCGGATAGTTGCGCCTCCCAACCTGATGCTGCCATCGCCCAAGCGAATAGCACCATCAAGGAAGCCCAGCTGATCAGCATCGGAAGTGCGGAGAGCGTGGGCGACCCTGTGGGCGCCACTCAGAAGGGGTTGAACGTGGATTTTCTCAACCTGAACGGGGACGCCGTTCAAGGGGAGGGACAGCCGGAAGGCGGGGTTAAAGACAGCAGCTGCGAGAATAGAAGCCTCGTGAAGAACATAACTCTCGATAGCGAGATGAGGATGTTTGGCTTCGACAGCGGCTTTGGCAGCGGAGCCGAGTGCAGAAGTGAGCACGGCAGAGAGGGCGCAGATGCAGTCGCAAAGCAAGGTGTCATTCCAGTTGCAACCCCAGCCACCAGTCAAGTCTCCAATGGAGCCGCGAACCTAAGCGCAGGCCTCCATGCAGACCCCAGTCAGGGCCAAATCGACTTCAACGAATTCTTTGACCCCTGGAGCGCCTCCAAGGGGGACAAGAGGCCTGTCGCGCCAACAGGTAAAGCGGCTCAGGATGGACACCCAGAAGGGACCCAGTACGACCTATTCGAAAAGGATGTGGCCCATTTTAAGGATTCCACCTTTAAGGATGCCACTTTTTTTAAGGACGCGACGAATAATGAGCCCTTTAAATACACACCCAGCTTGGACGAAATGAACGTCACAAGGAAGGGCGCCGACGTGACAAATGAGACGCTATACAAAGTAAACCATTACGACGATTTAGACAACGTGGAAGATTGTTTTCCTACCTATGACGAAGTCAATTTTGGGAAGAAAGTGGACGTTTCTTTCAGCACGAACGCAGACGTCTTCAGTGGGGCCCCAAAGGACCCATCCGGCAAGTTCATTGCGTCGGATAAAAATGACAAGTTTTCGGAGCTCCTGGAGGAGTTCCAAAAGTGTTCCATTTGAGTGGGTCTCTCTGTATGTGTTTCTGTGCGTCATTTTGTGTGTGTGCCCCTGTGCGCGTAACGATTCTGCAAAAAAGGAATTTCTTATCCCCCCTTTCGCATCCCGCGGGGTGAGTATTATTTCGCCCCTTTCTTTCCCTTTTTTACACGTGAGATGAGAGGATGGAGTAAAGCAGGCGAATCCCTTCGCCCTGATAGTGTGTCTTTATGCATGGCACTACTCGGTAGGGAATCCCATGCGCAGTGAGGGCTCGCCCCAAGTAATCATTTTTGCCTTTCTCTCTCGTCAGCACAACATCGTACTGTGTGCCTAATGGATTTCCTAATTCGTTGTACAACTTTATTAACATGATGAGAAAGGACTCCATTTTTGAGTCTTCCGGATAATGGACTTGTTTGAAATGTAGTTTTTTTGCGAGCATGTATGAATTTTTTCCCATGCAAAGGGTGGCGGCAAAGTCGTTTCCAAAGTTTTGGAAAAATGAAGCTACCGTGCTGTTGCTCATAAGGCATATAATGGAGTTTCTACCGATCTGAATTTGGTTTCTCTTGTATGTAACTTTTTTGGTGTCGTAGCAGTTGATTCTTGTGATGGTTAAGCGGTTCCGTTCTTCTTGACCTTTTCTTCCCAACGGGGTGAACTCACTTTTTTTATCGTTAAAATTGGACTGGCTAATGGATGAGGCAACCCAGATGATGTTCTCTGCATTGAGGGGCCCCTCCCTTTTGTGCTTCGCCAAATTGGCAGTTAATTCGTTGTGCAGTGTTACCGAATTGGCCCTGCTAGGGGTGAAGACGATGTTGAACCCCTTAACGGTTTTATTAAGTTGGTGGAACTCCTCCTGATTTATTTTCACCTTTGGGAGTTCTTTCACTACACTCTGGAACATGTCGTAGAGATCCCTTCCTGTGCAATCATCGTTCAGGACAGCGTTGCAGGATTTGCCGATGGACACGATGGGGAAGTTCATGACCTTATTTGCCGCGTGGTTATCGACATGGCGACTTCTCTCCAAGGGGGACTCATCTTCGGCTTCTCTTTTTACCAAATTATAGATGAGCAGTATGGCGATAAATCTGTAAATTTTGGCGCCCTCCGGAGAGGTAATCAGGATAGACACTTTTGCTTTACCCCCCCGGGGTGGCTCCGTTGTTTTATTTGCGCCTCCTCCTTGTACACATTTTAAATTAAGAAAAGAAGGGCAGTTTTTTCTTCTGACCTGTTCATAATTTTCGAATTTGTTTAGGCAGAATGGCTTGCCCGGGGAGTCACTGGGGGGCCTCCACAGTTGGTAGCATGAGGAGGAGTGCAGCAGTTCCGGGAGGTGAAAAAAGAGAAGCACATGGAACATCCCAACAGAGAGTACAACGCGAGTTAGTAAAAGCGCAGACGGGTAAAGCATGTTCGAAAGGTGTGCTGTATGTGTGCAGACAGCCGGGGCGCGTCAAAATTGTATGACCAGGTCAGGCGAAATGGTCAAAAAAAAAAAAAAAAAAATAGCCATTTGGCTAGGCGGTCGCGTATCTATCAACCATTTGGCTAGGAGACCACTTTGCCAAGGGACTGGAAGGGGGAGAACCGCCTTCAAACCGATTGGAACAACACAGGGAGGTCGTATTTTTATGGACCCTTCCCCCCTGTGCGCACACCCCTCACGTGTAGACGCGAATGTGCATCGCTGGCGCTGCACCGATGTAGCGCCTACTGCAGAGGGGACAAGAATACAAACTGTGGGGTTACTCCCTTGTGCAGGCCCTACCACAAAAATCCAACTTAACAGCGGAGGGAAAAAAAATCCTGAAGGGTGCGCAGCACAGGGTAGGGAGAGCACGAATAATTTTTTAAAATGGTTCTATTCGTATATAATAAATTATCTGGAGTAGAGTTATATGAATAATTTTTGTTTCTCCAATTTAGTGACACATATGGTTGGTAGGTAATTATGTTGTCATCTTGGGACCCTTCCAGGGGGAGTTGCAGGTTTGTATTATTATTCCCCACGTGCGGCCGGTACATTCCACACTCGCCGCGATCGTTCTGTTGCCGCTCCAGGGACAACTGGACTGTCATTTCCGTTTTTTTCCTTTTTCTTAAAATAAATTTTTTAATTTTCTGCACATAATCATCGTTCTGTTGAATGAACAAATTAAAATATTTCTCGATTTCAGAGAAAATCATCTTTAAGCGAAACGTATGTCCGGGAAGCCAGGTGACCTTGTTAAACTCCTGTATCTTTGTCAATTCATGTGGCGTTATTGACAATATCGTTTCGAAGGAGTCATAACCGTAATTAAAAAAATGGTCGATTATTTCTGAGTTTATTTTTAGCTGCCTGAAAAATTCAATTAAAATTAATTTCTCCGCCAGTAGCACTTTGCATTGAAACCACAAGTGTGCAAATAGCCCGATGTACGACGGGAAGTTTCTGCACAGGATGTTCATCAGAGTTATGTAGATATTGCTTTTGTTATATTTTCTCATTTCTTTGGACAAAATTTTGAAAAAAAATTTTAATTCTCTTTTGCTGGCACGGAGTGGAGGCAAGTACATTTTGGCCTCGAAGAATTCGTTGTACTTTTCGCGCTCGTCCCGGGGGGGTGATACTAGCACTTGTCCTTGGGAGTTTTCCCGATGGCCCGTTTCGTTTTCCCTGTCCTCACTGTTTTTTTGAATATCCCTATTTTTGGTGCTTAGTAAGAATGGCACATTTCCCCTTTTGTCTTTCCCCACCGGCGCATTTTTCAAGAGGGGTCTAATCACTGTGTTGCAGTGTGTGTCTCTCTGGGGGCCCCCAATCTGCGTCATTTTTCCGTCCATCTGTCTGTGTAAATAATATAGCTGATTCATTTCACCTCTTTTGTCTTCGTTTTATTTTTAAGCGGAGTAATTTAAAGGGATTGCAGAAGTGTTCATCGGTCTGTTGCGTGGCGTCAAATTAGAGAACAGGTGGGTGGCACAAATGTTTAATTCTGCGAGTGGCAAGTTTCGGCTTCACACATTGTCTCCGCGAGCGTCACTTGTGGGAGTCGCTGCTCAGAGAGGTATATCCGTATGTTCTCATTTGTGGCGGGAAGGAAATTCTGCGACGAGTTGTGAGGAGTAACCACGCCGTGTCAAGAAAAACGCGCACCCGTAGGGGGACGTGCACGCAACGGGGAGAAGCACACAGGGGAGGAAAACACAACAGGGAAATAGACACGGGGCAAACACATATGTACCTATCTATGTGTGCACCCCCCTTTGACCCGTTCACGCGACTCTGTAGAATTTATCGAACAGACGAAATCCCCCCCCACGCAGTTACGCGCAGTGGCAATTTGTTCTGTCCCATTTTGCAATTCAGCCGGCGAATTTTTCAACATCTCATTTGGGAAAACAAAAAAAAAAAAAAAAAATTACTAACCCTGTTGGGGGGTATAAACACAATGGAACATATTTCTGCAGGGTGGGAGGTTATGTCGCGAGCGAGAAGAGGGGGTCCACATGAAGAAGACACCTTCATGCGTTTGCGCGGGAACAGCAGGAGTGTAAATTATTTTTTCCAAGTTGGCCTGAGTCTTTCCCTTCCCCTCCTCCTCCCCCCTTCGCATAAACTATGAACTTTTCGAACAATAAAATGTTGGTCATCCTTTTCGACAAAAGTTTCGATTTAATCGTCATTTTTTTTTCCTCTTTTTTTTTTGTGTGCTCGTGTGTGCAGAGGATGATGTCGCGTACGCTGTTGTGTGACGCGGGGTTTGATAAATGTAGAGAGGGGGGCAAAACAGGGTGGAAACTTCCAACACAAACACATCTTCATTCCCTCCCCCTGCAGGGGGATAGCCAAGTCACCATCCGTATCTTTCTTTCTTTTTTTTTTCTTTTGCCCTGCGCGAGGTTCTCCACGAACATGCACCTTTTTTCCCAACCCGTTAGCTAACGTAGGTATCTCCCCTGGCGGTATGCTTAAAGCGTATTTTGCAATCCTCTTTATACTTAGCCTTGTTAAGAGGGGTTACTACACTTTCTAGGGTTCGACTTTTAACCTACCTGGCGTGTGTGTACGGGGGGGCCAACAAAACAGCTGCATCGCATGTCTACTCGCTTGTCTACCCTTTTGTCTGTGTGTCGGCATGGAGGAGGGGAAAAAAAAAATGTCAACAGAAGGGGTTGACGGGGTTACCCCCCCTTGGCTGGATTTTCTCCTTTTTAAGATTCTCATTAATTTGACGTCATCCCCATGGATAGGGGGGGGCAAAACGGAGAAAGAGCAAAAATGCCAAGGATGGAATTGTTTTTGAAAGGGACCCATATTGAACACTTTTTTTTTATGTGTAATTACAGGAGGCGATCACTCATCGCACGTAGGGAAAGAGGAACTCCTCATCTTCCTCGAGATGGAGGAAGAGGAGAAGAAGCAATATATTTAATCAGTCCCATGCCTTCTCAAATGATTAAATTATCCTTCACTGCAGTCGTCACTTTTGAGAACATCGCTTCTACTTCCTCGCTGTGTATAATATGTGTAAAGAATGATCTGTCCACTGAGAGCATGTGCGACGTCTAAATGCACACATTATTTCCTGTTTCTTTTTCTTTTTTTGGTGAATGAAGAGGTCACTCTTTTGTGACTCGAAGGGGGAAGTTGTTAAAATATGACTTAGCGAGGGGGGAACTGTCTTTGATTTTATTTGCTCTGGTTTGTTTCTCTTTGCTTTCATTTCATTTCCTCTTTTTTTTTTTTTTTTTTCCTGTCTTTCCTTCCGTCCATATCACTTTATCTCCCTTTCTAACTTTCTCAAAATTGTGCACTCTATCTTCTGGGAGAAAACATCTCCGGCGCGACGTACATGGGCGTGTACGCAGCCACCCCGAAGCGACATCAGGAAGGTGCACCAAATTGTATCGCAGCACCGAATCAAATCGACTCACCTCGAAGGTCGCCGTAGAGGCTGTTGTGGACGTCACTGCAAGTGTTGTCGCTGACGACGATCTCCTCTCAACGCAAGACATTGTCCTTGTGTTACCGCATGACTCAGTGCCTTCTTTAAAGGACCCCCATGAAATATCGACTGGCACTATCTTTTCTTCTCTTGTTGGTTCGCAATGTGAAGGGGGATCTTCCCATACACGCTCTGATGGTAAAGTCGCTCAAGGGGAGCAGGACTCGTCACGTGGAAACGTGTACATAAAACTATGCATGCTAGTTTGTTCCATCGATGGAGGGAACGCCGCCCCCCCTTAGAGTGTCAATAATGTGTTAAGCAAAATTCGTAACTGAAATTTTGGAGAAACCTGCCACGTGATGGTTATGAGGTTTTTTTTTTTTCTTTTTTTTTTTCTTGGGGGGATGCCTAGCGTGTTGGTAGATTGTACAGATTGAGAACGAGCTTCCTATGTGTTGAGATGCCGCTTCCTAAATTTCTCACCTTCGTCATTGCAGGGAGACGTCGCGGGCATTTGGGACATCAGCCAGACGGAGGAACTCAGCGACAAGCCGGAGCACTGCGGAGGGGGGATTCCCAACAGGAATGTTCAAAATTTGGATCCGCGTAGGCTTCCATAAGGAGGGTGCCCACCCACAGGGAGAGGCACATCGGGACAAGCACAAGGGTGAATTTGTCTATTACCATTCCTCTTGTGTTGAGGGTCCCTTCGACTGTCACGCATTAACATAGAGACAATGACGTGACGCTGCTCCATTGCCTTCTCCACTTCAATTCAGAACTAGGAAACTATGAAGCGTTTCTGGAAAATAACTACGGAGGTGTGGATAGCACATCAATGAAGCTGACCACAGAAAAGATTAGATTGTCGGACAAAGTAAATCCGAGGAATAAGTGGACCTACTTGGCAGTGAGGGATGTGAAGACTAATGGGATCATCGGCCACTGGTAGGGGGATGCGCCGAGGGGATAATGCCGCTACCCATCGAGCAGCGGAGTGGCACAGATCGGGGCTGTGTCACCCATTTTGGTATCCCCATGTGGTGTGTACACCGGACATCCATAGAGTTAGCGTTTACCCAGTCGTTCGACTCGCCACCATTTAGAAGCCGTCTTACAGAGCGCTTGATTTGCTGCCGACTTCTCTCACGCAGGACGATGGTTTATGACGAAGGGTTCGAAGTCAGGTTACCTGGGAGGCGGTACTTCGGTACGGACGGGGGAGGAAAACTGCGGGAGTAGTGAGCGGGCTATCGTTTTGACCTGTTCGCGATTTTCCCCCCCATGTATCACTCTGTTACAGCTACAGAGCAGGAGAACTGAGCAGGAGAACTGAGCAGGAGAACAGCACACTCTCATCGCCTCGCAACTTCACCCCCTCTGTAGCCTTATTCAAATATGAACGGATCAGCTCCAAAACGTGTCCTGACCCCATAGAAAGTAGGACATAGATGGGGGGGTTTACACTTCGCCCCTCCGTGAGGGAGTCCCAAGGGAAGAGCACCCTTGATGTGTCGTCTATCCCCTTCTTACAGACAAGGATTCTACAGATAGCAACTGTTATGTGACAGATCCTAGAAGGACGCTGATTGGATGGGTTCTACACCAACGGGTTCAGGAGAACGATAAAGAGAAAAAACTATTTCAGTGGGGATGCTTCCATGGAAGGAAGCAGGAAGATGTAGGTGTGTCTTCCTTCGTCATTCACGGTGCGCATGGAAGTCGAGATGATACGGAGGAACGGTAACGAACCAGAGGGTGGTGTTGCTCCCAAGGGGGGGGGAGAGGAAAGATCAAACGTGAGCAGCAGAGAGAGGGCGGCATAGTATCACCACTTCGACGCTGTGGTGTTTCAAAGCATCACAATTGTCTTCACTTCTTAAAATTGTCTCTACTTCTTAACGTGGAAATGTTAGAAGCAAGTGCTGAGTGTGTCCCCTCTCCTTTGCGATATGATGGGGAGCCGATCGGTTCTTCCATTTGCACGTAATGTTTTTTCTGCTTCGCCTGCTCTGTGTGTGTAGCTATCCCACATGCAATGTTGACTTTCTCCACGAAATGAACTTCATTTTTGCTTCCTTTTTTATCGAATCAGAGGAGGGAAGACTTCACCGCCAAGGAACCAACTCAGCTTTGCTGCCATTAAGCATAGGTCGAATTATACAAAGATAAGGCTACCCACGGGGAGTCCACACGGCGTGCCGAAGACAAGCTTGAGTAAGTCTCCTTTCTAATTATCCTTCCCCTGTGATGCGGCAGAAAAGCACAATCGTCGATGAAGCGATTGGCAGCGTGCCGATCAGTTTGTGCACCCCATTACTTGCCCTTCACCTCCCATCTTGCATTTTCCACCCTTTTCGCCTTCTCCCCACAAGTGAGCATCTACGAACGCGCGACGGAACGAATTTACGGCTGCCGCAAGGATGGAAGCGGGGAAGTGAAGATCCGCTTGACCCTCCCGAAGGCATTCACATGGGGGGATCCATTCAGTGACGACAAGTTTGAAGACGACGTGGAGGACCAAATGAGCTGCGGAAGCTGTTACTCCATTGCGACGGTGTACAGTCTTCGTAGAAGATTTGAAATTTGGCTTTTAAAAAAATACGGGAAAAAAATGGCAATGCCAAAGTTGTCCTATCAGTCCGTTCTGAGCTGTTCTCCATACAACCAGGGGTGTGATGGAGGCTTCCCTTTTCTCGTCGGGAAGCAGCTCTATGAGTTTGGCACTCCAACGGAAGATTCTCTGCCTTACGGAAACAGTGATTCGATTAAGTGTGAAATGGATATGGGCTCTTATAACGATGTCACCTCGGCAAAGTACAAAGAGGAGGATCTTTTTTTTGCAGGAGAATATAATTATGTTGGTGGCTGTTATGAATGCTCCAATGAGTTCGAAATGATGAGTGAGCTTTATTCAAATGGACCCATCGTCGTCGCCATCAATGCCACTGCGCAATTACTTAGCTTGTACAATTTAGGGAAACAGAATGGTATCTACGACACCGCTACCCATGAGAACAAAGTTTGCGACGTGCCAAATGAGGGTTTCAACGGATGGCAGGAGACCAACCATGCTGTGACGATTGTTGGCTGGGGGGAGGAGGAACAACAGGAGGGAGGCAACCCCGTTAAGTATTGGGTGGTGAGAAATACTTGGGGCAAGGTGTGGGGCTACAATGGATACATCAAATTCCAGCGGGGCGTGAACCTCGCCGGCATCGAGACGCAGGCGGTGTTCCTCGACCCGGACTTCTCGCGCGGCAGGGCGTTCAAGATAAGCGGTAGAGAAAGCGAAGGGGGAGAAGTTGGCGCGGAAAATGGCCATAAACGTGAAGCTGCCCTGATACCGCACATCACGCACACCCAACATGCGCAGCGGGATAACGTCTAATCCGACCAACTGGACTGGCTAGAAAAAAGGGTGCGTCAAAAAGGAGCGAAAAATCGGAGAGACTTCCCCTTCTTTTTTTTTCGGCACAGAAGAGTCGTCAGGGAGATTACGCCCTAGAAAAATATCTCCGATGCGAAGGACAGCTTAAGTGCCTGCCATGTGTTGGGTGCTCCAATAAGAGTCCGATCCCACCATGTGAATTCTTTTTTTTTTTTTTTTCTTTTTCTCCCATTTGAGGACCTTTGTCGAGGTTGCCTTCCCCATTGGTGTGTTGTCTAAGCCTACGCGTTAAAGTGTATCCCCTAAAGGGTTCTGTAGCAATACCGCGAAGCAAAAGCAACTCTCATGTTGCTCTTGCCTTTTGCTAGAATGTCGGAATAGGTGATGATCATATTTGAAGCCTCCCCTTCACCCATCATCACCCTAGCAGTTCTCTCCCTCTATGGGAGCGTAACTTATTTGTTTTGGGATACCACGTCGCCCTTCCCGTGGTTAAGCGATACGGATAACTCTTTGCCACGGCGCGGTGCTCCGCAGCAAATGTTGGCGGAATAAATTTATTCTCCCGTAAATGTTTCTTAGGAATGGAGAAAAAAATTTCAAAAAAAAAGGAAAAAGGGATACCCCAATGGGGAATGTCAAATGGGTTGAATTAAGATTTTTTTTTTTCTTCTTCTTCTTTAAAAGAGTGCAATTAAATGTGGGAAATAAAAAAAATAAAATAAATATGTCAGCATAGAGGTAGCACCCTTTTTTTTCTTGCGATTGCTTTCTTGCTTTCTTTTTTTTTTCTTTTCTTTTTTGCAATCCCACGACGGCGTAACTTCAAATCAGTGCAGAGGACGATGAGTCATTCGTTTTGAAGTGGCACATAGAAATTTCTCCAAAAAGTGGTAAATTCTGTTAATCCCTTTTTCGCGTCACTTGGATTTTTTTGCCTTAGGGGATACGACAGATTAGTTGCCAAAAAAGGGGACCACGCCACTGACAGGGATGTGCGTATGTAGTAGAAGTACTCACGCGTAAGCTTTTTCCCAGAGGATTGTTTCAGCCGAGAGAGCAGCTTTCGCGAAAGGGGAATGCAAAGCAGAGACGCATCGAAAGGATAGTGTAGAAATGATAGCATGGGAAGGATCGCTTCCAAAGGATCGCTTCCAAAGCATCGCCTCCAAAGGATCGCCTCCAAAGGAACGCATCAATCGAAGCTCGTCTCACGTGACTGACCATTTTAGCGTTCGCCTAAAAATACGGCATTAATTGGGGAGAAAGCCGGGTTTTTGCCTGCTGCCACCAACAGAGCCTTTTCCATTTCAGCTGCGCATTCTAAAGGGAAAAAGTTGAGAATCCTGAATCCGACAGGCATATAACAGAAGAAACAAATAGGGAATAGTCCATCCGGAGGGGATCGAGTCGGAAGTACCTTTCCCCTTCTTCTACCGTATCCGCGGCTGCATCAATTTGTGGGTTGAAAGAAATCCATTTAAGAGCTCTCCGCCCACGACTTTCCGGCGCCGCGGAAAACGCACACAAAATAAATGTAGGCATCCCCCGCACATCAGAGAAGAAGAAAAAAAAATGTCGAGCTATAAGAATGTCATTCCGAAGCGAAGCTACCAGGAAAGAGGGCAAGCCAAAGAGAGGCTACACCTGGGGGAGCTGGAAAAAAAAGTGGACTATGGAAAGAGGAGAGAAATATATAAAAAGAAAAAAAAAATAGAAAATGTGCTAAAGGAAAAAATTATGAATAAAAACCCCGATGAGTTCCACACGGGTATGGTTCACTCAAGGATAACAGATGGCACAAACGAATTAGAAAAAGAGGAGAAAGTGCTGAGGACAGACGTCGTGTTAAGAAACAAGAGGGACGATCTGAAGGAGAAAACAAATGCATTATATAGAAAATTAAAAAAAATAAATAAAGTGCTGGAAAATTACTACATAAATGTCCCCCTGAGATATATTTTTAACAACTCACATGAACTTTACGACGACAAGGAAGAGACTACGACCACCTATGTGCTGAAGGCGGAAAAGAAAAAACTGAAGACCAGAGCTGCCATTCTTCAGCGAAGGTATAGTTCTTTGATTAACTTAAAAAAGAATGTCCTGTCGCAGATACGAAAAATCGATAATATGTATGCAAATACGTACAAGGATGTTGATGGGTATTGTGTCCTTAAGGGTGTTGGCGCTGTTCCCCATCGGTTCTTTGCGCCACGCTTGAGATAGGGGTGTATATCATATGGCCGCCAAAAAAAGGGGCATGCGGAAGCGTTTTTTTTTGTGTCGACTCATCATGGTCAATCCCCTGACCTACATGTTGCGAACGCTTTTTTTTTTTTGGAGGTTACGCGGTAATTTTTTGAATAGCCCAATTTTTACGCACCTTTGGTAACCGCTCAGTCTAAGCTGCTTACTTGGTTGGCATTTTTTCTTTTTTTTAACTCATTTTTGATTGCCTTTTTTTAACCCATTTTTGTTTTCCTTATTTTTCTTTTTTTTGTGTGTACCTCCTCTCCTGCCCCTTGTGCACCTTCAGTTATGGTAACACTTCTAGTTACGCTACGCGCATGGGGAGAAAAAAAAAAAACGCCACCGATAGGCAGAACTTTCCTTAACACAAGGCATGTATAATTTTTGCGAAAATTGCGAACGGGTCCATTTTGTACGCCGCCCAAACGTTCTGCTCATGAGAAGGGCAGAAAAATTTCTCCACTCGACGGCGTTGCCAAGGATGCGGAATGCTGGAGCATACGGGAGGTTGAAATTGTTTCACAAGAAGAAGGTGGTACTGTAGAAGCAGTTTGTGTACACAGGAATGTACCCCTCCGTGTCGTATAGGCGATGGCCCCCTCTCGTGATGATAGACTGTCACATGGCCGCTCAGTGAAGAAGCCCCGAAAGGGAGAACCCCCACCACGGCGCAATGAAAATCATCTACACGTATAAAAAGGAGGACTACGAACTGCAGGTCGACGATGGGAATGCAGACGACTACGTCATCGACACATTGGAAAAAAATTCGAAAAAGTGCAGCTGCGATGGTTTCCCTTACGACAGTGAGACGCAGGTCGAGTTTCTGAACTTTTCTCAGTTTCACACTGAAAAGGAAACGAATTTTGCACGTGAGAAACCAACTGGTAGCAAAACAGACGTGGGAAGAACTACCCAGCTGTGTAGCGATGATGAAGCGCAAAACAAGTCGCTGCTAAGCTATGTCAGCTATTTTGAGAAGGCAGGTTACATCGTCAAAGAGGGAGATATTTATGGAGCACATTTTTTACTTTACCTAGATGGTGAGCAATATACTCACGCGGTTTACGCTGTGTATGCTGTGTGTAGAGACCATGTGATTAGAGACCTCGTTCGCATGTTGAGGGTATCACGCAGCGTGAAAAAAAACGTCATCTTAATATTGCTGACAGGGAAAGAAGCAGCGGATCCGTCAGATAACATCGTTTACGTGAAGGTTTACTCTTATAAATAGAGTTGCCTCAGGTTGTAGTGGTGGTTGGAAGGGGGGAAAAGCCGATGAATACCCAAACTGTCTTCATAAGCGCGTGGCTTCTCATACCTTGCGAGGTAGTGCCCTGCTATATCCGTATGCTTTTCTATACTCTGCTTTGTTTTGCTTTGCCTTAATTTTTTTTGCACCATATTGATCCCTAAAAGGAGGAAAGTTCAACCGTAGGTCTCACAAACCTACCGCGACAGCATCCGTCATGTGGCCGCTGTGGAAGAACCACATATTAAAATTGACAAATGGTAACCCAATTAAAGACTTGTGTGCAGCGCAGGAAAATCCGTTTTTGTTGCAAATTGGAGGCCACGAGACGTCCGAAAGAGCGAATACGAACATGTATAAATTCGTTCTGCTTAGCCGTTTTTACAACCCTTATGAGGGAGAAACTCACAAAAGAGGAAGTTAAATTATCGTAAACTCTGCGTCAAATTTGTCATGAGGCATAACTACCAATTTGACGGTATAGCTAGCTATAAAAAAAAAAAAAAAAAACAGAACTGAACAAAATTGGCACCAATTTGTATGAACAAGTCAGCCGTTTTTTTTTTCTTTTTTTTAATTTTTCTCTCCCTTGTTTTGGCAGCTATGTTTATTTGTTCCGCCCTCGAATTTTGCAAACCAAGAAATATGAGACCCTTCTTCGATTCCGACATTGTGGTCAACTTTACCCTTTCGGAAGAAGCAGTACAAAATGAGAAGAGAATTATTGAAAGCAATCGGCGTGTTCTGAGGGAGTGCCAGAAGGAGAAACTGATAAGTGAGAGGAAAAAGAACTGGGATAAGTTTTACCATAATTACAAAAGCAATTTTTTTAAAGATAGGAAGTGGATAAGAATCGAGTTCGACCACATCTTCAGGGGCCAGACGTCCATAAATGAAGAGACTACTGGGGATGCCATACAAGACGGTGAGGAAGGCACAACAGAAGTGGGGAATAGAAAGGAGAAGAAGCTCGTCCTGGAAATCGGATGCGGCGTCGGAAATACGCTAATACCACTACTAATGGAGTACGAACATTTAGACTGCGTCGGGATAGACTTTTCAAAAAATGCAATAAATCTCCTGAATGAGAAGTGGAGCCGGGTGGTCAGTTTGAATGAGAAGTTGAAGGGAGTGCCGGGCGAAGGGACAGAGGAAACGGAGAACGACCGGACCGAGGCCGCTGAAGTGACTCAGAACGAGGACAACTCCGAAGAAGAAGACGCCAGTTCCGACATTTTCGAACTGAAGCGTTATAAAAAAATGGGAAATTTAATCAAAACGTGCGTAGTGGATATAACAGCCCCTGAGGAAGATTCCACTCAGGTGTGCGACATAGGGACGGTGGACATCGTATTGCTCATTTACGTTTTGTCCTCAGTACAACCGGAGAAAATGAAGAATGTTATTTACCATTCGTACAGATACTTAAAAAGAGGAGGCTACGTTCTACTACGCGATTACGGACTGTACGATTTGGCACAAGTGAGATTTGCAAATAAGAAGGGAAAAAAAATCTCCGAAAATTTTTACGTCCGGGGGGATAAAACCTTTGTGTATTTCTTCAAAACGGAGGAACTGCGGAGCCTTTTTTGCGAAAATGGTTTTTTCGAGGAAGTGCAAAATGGATACATCACTAGGATTGTTAAGAACAGGAAACGGAATTTGGAGATGAAGAGAATTTGGGTGCAGTCCATTTTTAGGAAGCGCTAGGAGGGGGGTAGCCGCAAATGGGGGATGCCTGTCTCTACATGTTTTCCCCACAAAGGGATAGCGGCGATTTGGGGATGGCTCTGCCTGCACATTTTCCCCCACAAGAACCAACATTTTGTGAATTCATCTGGGCCTCCCCAGGATGGCTAATCCGTTTAACTAACACGTAAGGGGTATACATTCACTTTGGAGAAAAAAAAAACAGGACAGAATGGCGCACATCGTGTGGAGTTTTTTTTTTTTTTTTTTCTTTTCCAGTAAGTACCCCTTTGAGTATATAAAATGGACAGGAGTACCCTTTTTTGTGTTTTTCCAGAGTAGACCCTTATGCACTGGCAACACATGGTTGCACCAGGTACTCGCTTAAGGAGGGGGGGTGGGGATATAAAAAAAAGTGCAGTTAAAATGGGGAGGGAGTCCTCTTTGCACTGTTTTTTTTTTTCTTTTTTGCGTTGTCCGGTAGTTTGTGCGTGGCTTAGTATGCACACTTCTGACACGTCCGTTTTACCCTGCGGGGAAAGGAAGGAGCTACCACGCGTAAGGACATACATGGAATATATATCCCCTTTTTGTACAACATGGGGGAAAAAATAAGTGACCTTTCAAAATGGACGTTGGTTTAAACCGCAACGGGAATGTCGTCCAACAGACTGGCATGTAGCGCTCCTTTGACGTACTCTGTGCTGCTATCCTGTGGAGGTGCGAGGAGGGACACAGGAATGGAAAAAAAAAAAATGCAGCTCTGCGTTTGTTAATTTGTTTGCAAATATCACCTCATCACGTAAATGAATTTGTCATTTTGTTTTATCTTATTTTTTTTCTCGAATGGTTAATTTCGAATTTGTTGGTATAAAATGCCTCAAATTTGGACATTGCCCAGTTGCTTTTTTTTTTTTTTTTCTTTTCCCATATTTTAAACTTCCCTTTTGAAAAAATGGAATGAACCACAGGGGGTATGATGATGAGAAAAGGGAAAAAAAACTGGAGTCGGACCAGCCCCTCGAAAGAAGCGCGGCGAAGAGGAACAGGCAAAAAAAAAAAAAAAAAAAAAGGGAAAAGGAAAACCCTGAAAACAGTGCCGCTTAAGCTAAACAGTGCGGCGCGCCCCATTTTGCGAATGAGTAAATTTTCCTTTTTCAAACAATAAACCGTAACGGTTTGCGACCCCTGCGGTTTGTTGCCATCCTTTAAGAGGGCGAAGGCGACCGCGCGGTGTTACTCATCGCGCCGAGGGAGCTCACGTCATTTTCTCTCAATACGTAGTGATCGAAGGTTGAGCGTGGATAGGCATTATGTTATGCCTTGTCCGTGAGTTATTTCTACAGTTCGCCATAACGTGCGCCGATGTATAGGGCTGATCCAGTGACGAATTGGGGAGGCAACCTTCTCGCGTAGAAAGCCGCCACATCCTTGACGCCATGTCAGCATTTTAGTTAGCCATCCCCAGGTAGTCACTTTTTTACTGGATATCGCCATATGTAGTTGTTTTTGCCAGGCTGGTCATAAGCGAATGGCTGGCTAGCAACGTTCGATATATATAATCCCGAACAGCGCTGCCCCTTCTTCCAGACATGCTCACAAGAAAAGCGCAGTGCAGGCAGCGCGATGCGGGTAGCGCGACGTGCCCATGTAGAGGGACGTAGTCAACACAGCGTGGGGCCCTACTAAGGTACGCCTATGGTGACATACCTGTATATATAGCCAAAGCAGTCCAACACGCGGGTGACCGCTACCACAAAACACTTCGCAGCAAGATGGACAGATTCGGACACAACGTTAGGGCGGACGTGAAGAAGCAGGGGGCGGAAAGCGCAGAACTGCCCATCCTTTGTGAAACCTGCCTGGGAGAGAATCCATACGTTCGATTAATAAAAGAAGAAAATGGAAAAGAGTGCAAAATCTGCAATAACCCCTTCACCCTATTTAGATGGAAGCCGGGGCAGAAATCTCGATACAAACAAACAATTATCTGCAACATGTGTGCAAAAGTGAAAAATGTATGCCAGACATGCTTATTCGATTTACAGTATAATCTACCTGTACAAGTCAGGGACAAATTTCTCGAAACGAGTATTGTCTCCATGCCGGAAAATGAAACGAATAGAAACTTTTTTCTCGAACAAGTAGAAAAAAATCTTGATACCAATACGTATGAGAAAATTAATCGAGGCAATATGGATTTGTCAAAACTGAGGAGGAGGGATCCTTATTTTAAGAGAAACATGGCAAGGGTTTGTAGCTTCTGGAGGAAAAATGAATGTAATCGAGGAGCAGAATGTCCCTATCTTCACAAAGAAATACACTTAGACAAATCGCTAAGCAATCAAAATATTAAAAGTAGGTATACTGGAGAAAATGACGTGTTGGCTGAGAAAATACTCACAAGGTATGAACAGAAAAATGAAGATAAGCGATTTATGGCTAACAACATTTGTATTCATGGGATTAGCGAAGCTGTAAGTCAGGTCACTGTAAAAGATTGTTTTAAAAAATTTGGTGAAATTAAATCAATTAAAGTGATCCCGAAGGATTCGAAAATGTTCATTTCGTACGCCAATTCGCAGTCTGCAAAAAATGCTGCAGAAGCTTATAAAGATGGTCTCGAATTGAATGGCTCCAACTTAACGGTTATTCTCCAGGAAGAAGTAATCCCCAGGGGTGCTGCGCCATTTGTGGCCCCCCCACCATGGGGAGGAGTCCCCCCTGGGTGGTACAACAACGGGTGGCAAAACCATGGAAATGTCAATTTTATGAAGAAGAATAACAAAGCAGAGGGTCAGGCACCGCCAGGGATGATGGTTCCCGCGCCTCCCATGTTTTTTCCTTACCAGAATTACAACTTTAATCCCAAGGCGCCTAACTCCGCGCCTTATTTGTCCATGCGCCCGTCCGAGGCGGAGCAGCGCAAGTAACGGAAGCGCGGCAGTCCACTGTTATTAGCGTCTTCACCATTGTTGGCGTTTTCACCGTTGTCACGTTGCCATTTTGGCACGATTCTTTTTTTTGTTAAAGTCAGCACCCTTTTTTTACCCCCCACTCGTGTGCACATTTCAAGGGAACCATTCGTTGGGAAAGCGAAGCCAAGCTTTCTGCTGCGCTGCGTTGCTCTGTTTTGCTTTGTATTATCCTGCACGCCACCGCTCTTCAGGCCGCCGTTCACGACACCCCTCATTAGAACTTTATTTGTCCAATCTAGGATTTTGCGCATTTTGTGGTAGGCTGGTCGAACAGCGAAGCCAGTTTGGTAAAGTAGCTTTTTTTTTTCTTCTTTTCTTTTTTGCCTGACGAGGTCATACAAAAAAAATTTTTTTTTTTTTTTTTCTTTTTTGTATGATCTGGTCAGAAAGTAAATCATGCCGCTTCACCAAATTTGAAGTCAGCACAACTTTTGCAAACTCGTAGGTTAAACTATTGTGTAAAGGAAAAAGTACAAAATAGGGGAAACAGTGCACATTTTTTTTTCTCACGTCATGCAGGGGTTCCCACTGTTGTAATATCTACCACTAATGTGCCAAATTGGAAAAAAAAAGATTTATTTCCCTGACGTGTTGCCATTTTGGCTAGTTGTGCACACAGACAGACATGTAGCATAGTTAACAAAAAAAAGAAAAAAAAGAATGGTAGGATGTGCACCGGGTAAGAGAAAGACGGGTGCACGAATGGCACAAAAGGGACGCAAGAAAGAAAAACGAAAAAGGTGTCATACATAAACATCTGCTTGCGGGCCATTTCCCTCGTTATGCTTCCCAGTGGTTAGAATCACCGGTTTGCGTTCCAAATGCAGAGGGAGACAACAAAACGAAAGTGAAATAAGCCCAAAGGGGGGGGAGCTGTAAATGCTCGTTTGGGAACTTTTCCCTGCGCGGTTCTTCACGTGCATCCTTTCGCTTCGAAGCTGCTGCTCCCTCGTCAAAGAAGACTCATCTGCGTTTTCCTGTTCTCCAAGTACTTAACGTAGTTATTAATTATCCCCGTAGACCTCCACAACATTAACCATATGCACAAATTTGAAAGGCCAATCCACCAGTTCCGCTCATGTCTCCATTTGTATATTTTGTAGTACTCATCTGACAGCCCCGGTATGGCCTCCTTCGGATTATACATTTTGTTCAGGCCATATTTCAATTTATACGATTCTGTCATGAAAAGCATAAAGTTTAGGAGTAAAATTAGGGAGACAATTCTGATCGGGCTGTCCCCAATTCTTTTGCGACAGAATGAGTAACTGAACCGTACGAGGAATCTTATTTTCAGCAGGCAGGACAAAAGGAGCGTTATTCCCAGAGGCATCACTATTACGTATATTAGCTTGAGAAGGGACATTTGGGGCTAAAATGAGGGGTAAGCCAGTCGGGGGCGAAATGTGGGCCAAGGAAAAAAAAAGGAGGAAAAAAGGGCCTGCACCAAAGGGCTACGTCAAAAAAAAGGGTACAGTTATGGGGTAATCCTCTTCTACTGGGAGGAAAGTTCTACCCTTCTCTTCTAGGTGAGCAGTCCCTTCGTTTTGAAGAGAAACCGCCTCTGTCAGTGGAAACACAGAATGAATGTTTTCATGCTACCGCTAGGTAAGCATTAAAATATGGCGCCCCTGGATAAAATTGACCTGGGGGGATGTTCTGCATTTCCCTATGTACGCATAAGTAAGTTAAAAAATTAGTTTATTTTATGAAAATTTCGCCATTTCGTTAGGCCTTTGTAAGTGGCATATTCATTTCAGTGCAATTTGTTGGAAAATTGAAAGCTGTGATTTTGTGGCACCTTTAACTTGTGCGTACGTTTGCTTTCTTGTGGAAGAAGAGCTACCCATTGGTTCTCTCAAAACTGACACAATTCTGCTGAGTGTATACGCGGTACTCCCCTTGAAGAATGAACCGTCACAGTGTCAGTGTGATTTAATTTAACTTAGTTTAGTTTTATGTGTTATGACATGATATGACATGGTATGACTGGATATTATTTGAATTAATTTTTTTTTTTTTTTTTTTTTGCAAGGTCCGCAAAATCCCCTGCGGGTGGTAAGCACCAGGTTTAGCGACGTTGCACTGTCCACTTGTGCCAAGTTATTCCATCCATTGGTGATTAAATTTTTTAAGCATTTCGCGAACCATTGAAAGGATGATTTTCCAGAAGGGGGGATCCATGTCACGTTAGCAACCGCTTCATTGGCGAGCGTTTCTCGCGTTATCAAAAAGGATGAACAGGGACAACAAACTCTTGCTTGACGTAACAACCTCCTTTAATAGCTCCTCTCGTTTTCCCAGCACATGCTGGCCTATTGCTGTAGCAACGTTGGCGCAAAGGTGACAACGTCTGTGACGTACGTTCTAAAATGCAACAACATACTTATTAGCACATGTTACACGGGGGAACAAAAAAATGGATCTTTTTCTCTCCCCACTGGCAAATCCAATTTTTGTTACCTTGGGAAGCCTATCACGACGAGGTTCTGTGTGCACTTGTGCATTTCACTGACGCTTACTCCAGGTGGAGAATACAGTTCGCTGAAAGGGTGGCAATGTGGCACACCCGTTGTGAGAATAGTGGAAAATAATTACTACCCGTCTTTGCATGACGCGATCTGATCTTATTCCCCATTTTTACATCTCAGTTTGTTGGCTCGGGAAATAAGAAAATTGGTGTAAAACGCGATTATCTTTTTAGAGCTTTTTTTTTTCCTTCCTCAAAATGCAAAAAAAAAAAAAAAAGCCATGACTGTGTGTTTTCTTTTGAAGATTTTTTTTTTAGAGCTAACTAGATAGCTATTTTTTTTTTTTTTTTATTGCCTGTTCATAAAAAAATGTAGAATACAGACGTTTTTACTATCCGCTGTTTTTAACACTTCATTTTGTCGATCAGTTGGAAGCAGTTGTATATCGCAGCGCAGGAAAATTGTCACTCGATCTGTAGATTTGTCCATTTGTAGATTTATCGATTTGTGGACCTATAAATTTGTAAATTTGTAAATTTGTAAATTTGTTCATTTTTTCCCTTGCTCTCCTGCAATTTCGCGCACCTCTCCATTTGCTCACCCGCGCGCACGCGAAGATGAAGCGGATAGCCGAGCTGTACGCCTACTCCCTGGACAAATCCACAGCAGTTTTCAACCTGAGGAAAAAGGAGGAAACTGCCAAGAAGAAAAAGAGCGAAATGAATTGGCTGCACAGACTGTGCTCAGAATATGAAAAAACAAAAAAGGACACATTTGATTATTTCACCGTTAAAAAAAGCGAATGGAAAGATAAACTGAACGACTCGAAATTCTCTTCCTGCTTCAAGAGCGAGGACTCGAAGTATGGACACCTCCCCTGGTACAAAAAGTTGTACTACATATTAAAAGGACATGTCTACAGCCTGTTGAACATTTCTGATGGGGAAAAAAACGTGGACGGAGAGAGAAGCGACGAGGGAGGAAGATACAAAGAGGAGGGAACATACAACGAGGGAGGAACATACGAAGAGGGAGAGTTCCCTAGCAGAAGACCCCAACCCAGTCAGCAAGAAAAAATAATAACCCGAGAGTTCGTTAGCTACGAAAATTTCGACTACAAACGTGTACAGAAGACAAAGGATGCCGATGATTCGCTGTTTAATAAGTGTAGGGAAAGGTTCAGAAAGGCAAGGGACACTGAGGCTCATCTAAGCGAGCGCAGCCAGTCCGAATTGGTCAATAGAAGCATGTCTTCGAATGGCAGCATAGCCGTGCGCAGCAATAGGAGCATAGTGGAGGACGGCGCGGACCCCGAGCTTCGCGCTGCACATTCGCTCGCGCGGGAGGCGGGAAGGGGAGAAGTAGAAGCCGAAGCGAGAGCAGACGTTAAAGCTAACGCGAAAGCAGACGCGGACACGGCCAACCAAGTCATCGACGCGGAAGAAGCGGAGGGCAACAGGAAGAACTTTCTCCACGTGGAGGACTCCCCCAAGTTTAATATAAAAAACACGTGGGAGAAACTGAGCGGGTACATTTCGTAGGTGGCAAACGTGGCACGCCCCCCGTGTGCATGTTAGTGTTACTGTTCGTGTGGGTGTGGGTGGCCCTGTGCAAAATTGTTTACTGCCCCTCACATGAGAGGCAACAATTTCGGTGACGCGCCGTTGCCGCGTTTCTCCCCTTGCACAGGTTGCACACGCTGCAGACGTTGCAGACGTTGCAGACGTTGCGCGCTTTTCCTTTTGGGAGATACCTTTCGAAAGAGGAGCATCAGAAATTGCCACCCCTTTGTGCAACGCGGAAATGGCCGTCTATATGTCCCTGTTTCCTATTGAACAGCTCGCTCCGTGGGCATGCGCTACCACGCTAGCGCGAAAGCTGCTTAGCCCCCACACTTCGCCTTTAAGCAGTAAAGTGTTTTTTTTTGTAAACATGGACAAATCAGAAAAGACGTTATTTGTATGAGATCACTTTGGTAAAGAAGTAAAAATGTAAAAAAAGGAAAAAAAAAAAAAAAGAATTCCCCAAATTGCCTCAACAGTTCACCAAAATGTATGACCCGTTCAGAAAGATAATCTCCCAGGGAATTTTTCTCGTGTAAATACAACACATACGTGGAGGTGGTTTGTGGATTGGATTCTTCTACCTAGTTCTTGCTTAGCATTTCTGCCCCATGTAGTGGTAAGGCAATGGCGAGGTTGTCCTTTTTTTGCAATGTAATTCAGAAAGTAGACGGTGAAGGGGTAACGTGGGATACAGTCCTTCGCTTGGATTGTTCGTAAAGGTGAGCACTCGGTGGTCATCCCAAATGTGCGGGAAGTCGTTCACCCCGCAGGGCGTGCAAAGAAAATTCTTTCCACCTCTATATATCGTTATATCAATTTTTTTTTCTTTTACATGAAAAGATGCTCTTCTTAATACATTAAAAATTAAGTTTTTAATTATATATTTAAAACGTAAAAAAGAAAAAAAAAAAAAAAAAGGAAAAATACAACAGACGTTTGCAGATGTATAATTACACACACCACCGCGCACATGTACATACACACATAGGCAAGTGGGTATTCACTTTTTTTTTTTTCTTTTGGGGGGGCATGGACACCCACGCGGAGGTGGGACTCGTATAGGACGGCAGGTTAGTAACTCAATATATTTATTTTGCACTATATACAATAGGGAGATATATAACATAGTTCAGTAAGGTTCGCTTCACATGTATCAGTCGATGAGTGGGGTGGCTATTCTGTCGGCTAAGTAGGTCGGCCACTCTGGTTTACCGCGCCGCTAGACCCACCTCATTCCGCGTTGGAAAAAATCGATAGAATGGAAAGAAACAAATTAATTATGTCCATGTACAGCGCCAGGGTGGCGAAAATATAGTCATCAACGGAGAATTCATACTTCTTGTGTTTTCCACCAATAATGAGTTGCGTGTCCACGATGATCGAAATGGACAAGAGGAAGGCGCTGATTCCTGCGAAAACTAAGTTAAAGACTTTGCTTCGCACAAAAATTCCCACAATGCCTAGCACCATTAGGATTAAAAAGGCCATAAAGAGGTAGACGTACCATCCGGTGAAATCCCATTTGGTCTGAAAAGCAAAGATGGTTAACCCTACGACCACAACAGACGTTGTCCCAAAGGCATAAAAGAAAATTTCGGAATTTGTTCTGGCACTTGCTAATGTCACAATTAGAGTCATACCAACGGTTATTAAAAGAAGTAGGAAATAATTGCTTGGGTATTTTCTGGCCAAATTAGGGGCACAAGCCAAAGTTATCATTATGGGTAAGCTTAAAATGATCCCGAGGACGAAGAAGAGAGTGTAGTTGGTCACTATAAAAGTATTAAATGGTTGGTAGAGAACGGCCAATGCTGAACAGCCAAAAGTCATCAGGAGCTGGAGGGACAGTATAGAATATACTTTTCTAATAAAGCCATGTCTAATTTTGGTCGAAGAAAATTCGTTAAGGGAGAACTCGTCGTATAGTCCTCCATTGGCTGCCGTCGCTGTTTGGGGTGCATCATAGTAGTATCCTTTTTGTTCATTGTTTCCTTTTCCTTGTCCATAATTGTAGTTGTAGGATGATCCGTGGTTGTACACAGCTCCATAGTTCTGGCCCCCGTTGCCTCCGGGGACGTTTTTTCCATTCTGGTTGTTATACATTTTGGAGTGGCAGAGGAAATTGGAGGGGGTGATCTTGCGCTGATATGGACGGGTGCACAGGCACGGTGTATAATAGGCGGAGTATGCGCTTATATATATGCTATTATACAAATATTTACGCGCGTATACACACGGAAGTGCTGACGGGGAGTCGCGGTGGGATTGACGCTTCCTGGGGGAGCTGAATTGGGGAAAAGCCATAAGATGCAGGTTTGCAATGGGACACTGTTTGTTGTTTTTTCTTCTTCTTTTTTTCTTTTTTTTGAAAATCTGCATTATGCAGGGGGCAGCGAGCCATCGGCAAGGGAACGTTTACAAAAAACACATATGTAAAGAGGTACATACGTCTGCTGGCTCTTACGTACGTATACAATTACGTATACATTACGTAAACATGGAAAGGCGCTTGCCCTGGCGCGCTCTCGCCCCCGCACGCACATGGTCCTGTACGCACAGACAGGTATGCATAAATTGAACAAAATTGTACCTACCTTTTTCTCTTCCCGTACGAACGTACAATTTACGCGAAAGGCATAAAATGCTTCGCCCCTACGTTGGATGCAGCAAATCCTCGTTTGTTCGCTTCCTCGTGATTTGTTTGACTCAAGTGGGAATAGCCAAAATTGGCGTTTTTGATTTTTTTTTTTTATTAACAGCCTTTTTGTTCAGGTAAAAATTTGGAACTAGATAAAAAAGTAAAAAAATAAATAAAAAGGAAAAAAAAATTCCATAGTACTTTTTTTTTTTTTTTTAAAATGAAGGGGAAGGAAAGGTTAAATTAAATTCGCATTTACAAGGTATGCATTTTATTTATTTGTGGCACGGTGCAGTGACGGACGCCCCTTCCCCCACGCCTCGCGGTTATATGTGCAAATATAGCCAATTTGCCCATTTGAAGTTTGAAGTTTCAATTTGAAGTTTTAAATTTCAGGTTTGAAATTTTGCTTCTTTATTGGGCGTTTGCTGCTATCATTCATTTTGGCCCTTTCGCTCATTTGTCGGCTGTGCTCCGGGCGGTTCCACTTCCTTTTTTCGCGCGTAACTTCGGCATTTGACTCCGCAATTGACGCCCAGTTTTGTTACCCCGCAATTTTACCCGGCTGTGTTTCTTCGCTGCGTTTCCTGGCCCCTTCTCCTCGTCACTGTGCGCCCCCGTCTGCGCATTACAATTTGTCACCTCTGCTTCGCTGAGCCGTGAAGAAGAAAAATTACTCCTTCCAGTTGGGGCAAAAAAAATATTTCTTCATCTGTTCATCAGTTCATCTGTACATCACTTTGCGGAGGCGCGCAGGGGGGAAAGGAAACAAAAAAAGCAAAAGAGGAGGGGAACTGTTCACCTAGTGTGCGCTCGGTGGTTGACGGGTCCTAAAAGATCAAAAACACTCTTGTCCGTTTCGTCATCGTGGAAATTTCTTTTTTTTTGTTTTCCCCTCCCCAAAGGGTTACATATATATGCATGATGAAGTCATTACGTGAGGATTGCAGATAATAGGGCATTCGCCCCATAAAGCATAAGCAGAGAAAATTCCCATGTGGTTTTTCGCGTGGGGCATCCATCCTCCCGTATTACAAAGGCAATGCTTATATTATGTGTATATTATATGCATAGCATGGCATCATACGATTCCCCCCCCATGCCGCGTATTTCTGCGTGTACATATGATTAGTATGCATAGCATTTCCTTTTCTTTGTGATGTGCGTTCCTGTGGTGAACATGTGACGCAATCGCTCTGAGCGTCGTAATGGCTCTGACGGTCGTAGTCGCTCTCATTCCACCACAAAGAAGGTAGCTATTTCGAAAGTGCCCGCAGTCGAACTCTGTAGCCGCTACATGCATAGAGATAATACGAGCAAAATGTGGGTACGTTTATCTTTGTATGTCACTCTGTTGACGCGATGAATAGGTATAATACAACACCCCTATGGGCCAGGCTTCATTTTGACAAACCTTACCTCGTCCATATTAATTAAATTGTCGATTGGTTTCTGGCACAGTACTAAGTTGGGCCTCCATCTTGGGGAACCTAACTTTGGATGTCTTATGGCCGGAAGGGGGTGAAATATAGGAGGGGTTTTTCCCTTTTTTTTTTTTTTCTCTCATTAGCTAAATGGGAAGGATTTCTTTTCTCCTGGCGTCACCGTTGCGGTTTCGTCACCGTTTTGCATTTTTCCAAATGTGAAGTTTTCATGACAACCAACACCCGAGGCAATTCTTATGTGCATATAAAAGAGGTGTTAAGGTCGTGCTGGCAAAATATCCTTTGGGATTGTTTCCCCCCCTTCGTGCAGTGTACCACTGGTGGACAGGAGGAACACACAGGCGCGGTGCAAAAGGAGGAAATGAAGTAGCACCGTTTCATGTGAGTAAAGGAAAAGGACGAGAGCGTCATAGAGGCGGAAAGATAGTTTACCCCTCACTAGGTCATGTTGGGACAGGTGGACCGAAATAACATACGCAGATATGCATCGGGTGGTAGGATATGTATAGGTATATCGCAATCGGCACATATTCACGCGTGCGCCTTAGGGGGACGCATTTATGGATGCCCTCTTTTTTAAAAGGTTCTTTTTAGAACATCGCGTGGAGGTAGACAGTGGAGTGCGCAAAGCGGTCCTCACAAAACGTTGCCACGAGTGATCCCTCCACCGTCGCGTAGCTTCGTCCACTTGGAAGAGGCATTTCCGCGTAATTCTTCTCCCCCTTGGAAGGGAAAAAAAGAGACAGACGTGGAAAATGGCGCAAGAGTAAGATGGGTGTACGTGCCCTTCGTAGGATGGATAGAAATGCCCCCTCGCTCGTTTTACTTCCATCCTGCGCAAAGGGGTGAGTCTCGCGATGTAGACGTGACCCCATTGTGATCTATCTTCCTTTAGATAACACCTTGTGGGAAAGGCTCCCTGCTGGCAGTCGGGTTTGCCCGGGGTGTAACAATGGACGGAAGGAAAAAAAATAAAAATAAAAAGTAACTGCGCGGAACAACCTTGGTTTGCCAACAGATAGGGAAGCGCATTCGAATGACATCCCCTACTTCATTGCACTGTTTCGTTGAACCGATAATTATTTCTGTCTGCTTCAAACAGTAGCAGCATTGCAATGTTGCTTT